GTTTTCTTGGGTTTCTTCAACAGATTTGCTCCTGCGGCCTGCCATCCGCTCCTTAAGTTTCATTTTGTGCATCTTTTTCTTGTCTTTTCCATCTGGGGATTTTAATGGAGACTTAAGTGGAGACTCTGTGTCACTTGTTGGTGGACTTATCTCTAATTTTCTCTGTTCCTCTGCTTCTGATGTGCTGTGAGATCTTTTAAAATTTGCCCTGCGACCTTTGCTAAAGGTAGGGAATTTGGGCCAAGAGATGCGATCATGTTGCTTTTTTGTCTTTCTTCGACCTCTCATCTCTGGTCCTCTTCCTTCTTCTTCTTGCTCAGCCTCCTCGCCCTGCAAACATTGATGAAGCAGATAGAATGTCAATGAAACCTCTGAAGAAGCTTGGCTGTATTCTGTATTTAAAAATATAATGAACAGTATTATAATTACAATGGTTGTATCTGGCCTCATTGTCTCAGCATCTTCCTGGGTTCTTGGAGGTGGTTTGCGTTTTAGACAGAATGCCACTTTATATGGTTGAGCATGCTCAAGAATCTGGAGGGCGTCTTCGTATGACACATTATCAAAATATACTGTAGCACTAAGTATTTGATCACCTGAAAGTCCAGATGGAAGAACACAAATGAGGATGCAAGTGAAAAGATGGAGGAAAAACAAATGTAGCTGTATTATAGCTTCAGAAAATATTCTGGAATGTGCAATAATTAAAATCTCACCTTCTTTCACACTTAAATGCTTTGAGGCAGGCGACTCTAGTTTTACGTCCTTGATGAAGATGCCGTCCTTTCCTCCACTTACAATCAAACCCTCAGCACAAACTTCTTTCACAGTTTTCACTATTATTTCTGACTGATCACTTTGCATATCCTGAAACAGAATGCAAGTCATTTAGAAATTGATTCCTGTTTTCTCAGTATTTACATTCCTAAACATCTGTATTCTTCACTAGAGAGAACTTTAGGTGTGTCTGACCTCTGTTTGATTCATCTTGGCAGAGGAACGCTTGTCAAACAGTGAGCCGAAACCAATCCTTTTGCTTTTTTTGGAACTCTTGGTGGGTGAGTCATAGAAGTCACCTTCAGCCTGACAAAAAAGCATGTGATATATTAAATAGATAATAGTTTGATGATCAAATACAGCATTATACAATTCTGAATTAGGGTTATTATACTGTACATAAATAAGATAAGAGTCTAATGTAGCGCTCACCTGTTTCGCGTATTTCTCTGTGGTGGGGAATTCCTCAACAGGAGAGGAACCCTGAGGACGAGGTCTTTCCCCCTCTAAAACTTCAGGCTCCTCACCTACCTATTATATCAAACACAAATTAAAGATTATTTAAACAATTAAACAGTTTAAAACAGAGAGACAGTTTAACACAAGTGTATGTTGTATATTTGCTGAATGTGCTTTACTTGAGTGATACTCACTAAATCATCATCTGTGTCTTGTTCTGGTCCCTTCAGCCTGCGCCCTTCTCCTGTTGTGATGAAAAAAGCAGAATAAGCACTTAAAGGGGTCATAGGATGCCCATTTTCCACATGTTGATATGATTCTTTAGGGTCTTAATGAAAAGTCTGTAACATAGTTTGGTTAAAATTTCTCAGTGGTAGTGTAAAAAAACACCTTTTTTACCCTGTCAAAAACAGCTCTTTTCAGAGCACGCAGTTTTTCAGCATTTTCCTTTAAATGTTAATGAGATCTGCTCCCCCCGCCCCTCTCTTCCGAGCTGCTCTCAGAGAGACTGTTTACTTTAGCAGTATTCATCGTGAAACTTGCTAATTAGCACATTATTAGGAAAGGCGATTTGCAAAGATTCGTAAAAAAAAACCTTACACTCACTTCTTCTGTAGATGAAGCTGGATCACGAATGATTTGCGTGAACATAGACACATTTATTTAGATCGGGGGCGCATTCCCTTCAAAAACAAACATAATCCACTGCGTCTTCAGCGGCTCAGATGTCGGGAGTTAACGACGACTGCTATGTTCATTATTACATCCAACAACAAAAGACCTCGATCGCTTAGGAGTCATTCTTGTGTACATCTGCTCCAGCGGTGAAACAATGGCGGACTGATGACAGCTCACTCAGGGCGGGTCTAAGGTAAGATGCCAGTCCAGTCTATGCTGAAACACTACTGTCAATCAAACTATCGTGGGAGGGGCCTGTCTGTGTGACGTCACACAGACAGGCATCTGAGATCAGCTCGATTTGAGAAAGGTGTAAAGATTTTAGTAGATTAACGAAAAAACACTGGGTGGATTTTTATCATTTTAGGGTGGTTGTGTACACACACTGCCAACACACATTTCAGTTCAAACAACTTGTAAAAGTGCATGTAGCATTATATGACCCCTTTAAGGGTCAAGCTTTGTGAATACATAGGTTTTACATCTGGCTGCTAAGTGAAAAGCTCACACGGGACTTGAATTTGATGTTGGTGCATTATGTTTTCTGTACATATGACCAAAATTTAAGCCTGTTAGTCATCTATGCAATCTATACTTTCTTCATTTGCTGTTTTATAGCTTGTACTGATTGGAGAGTCAGTGAGTGATCTACTGTATTTTGCAAGACCAAAACTTTTTTTTTTTATCTGCAAAAAAGGCATAGTCTAAGGCAAACTTTCTGTTTGCAATATTTCCTCGCAGATATTCCCACAGGATCCAGACTGTCTACCTGCTTCTGTTGCTTCCTGTAAATTGAGGCACTTTATTGATCGGGGTCGGTTTACACTGCCAGCAATGAGACCAACATGGAAACGATATAGGTTCAAAAAGGACAGTGCAAATAATATGGTTATAAATATCTGCAGATGTGGTATTATTCTAAAAATACAAATTATATATATTTTTATTTTTATGGCATAAAGAAATTATTCCCTTGCATAATTTTTTTAATAGTTGTATGAATTTTAACAATATTATACAATAGACAGAAATACTTAAATTATACCAGCATCAATAATACTTTCATGACCTCCTTTCTTCTGAGAAAGGCATGAATTTCCAGTTTCCCATAACAGAATGCACTTAAAGGATCATTTAGGTACATAAACGTTTTCCATAAGCCTCACTCTACCCAGCCCATTAACCTGCACTTTCCTTCAAGCACTTATTCAGGCATCAGGTCTAAATGGCATTGAAGCACACTGGAGATTTATACAGTATGCATGTCATGTAGCATGTGAACATTATTACACCAGCATTTTTTTTTTTTTTTTTTTTACAGTTTCTAATGATCAGACACTACTTGTTCACTTGTACACTACATTCACTACTTGTGAATGCACCAATGTATTGACAGCTGAGGAAAAGCAGTGATAAATGTGAATTAAAAAAGTAAACAGACTTGTTAAAGGGAGGAGGAAACTCTTCCCATATGTTTTGTTGGTGTCAAAGGCTTTGAGAACAATCCAACTCAATGGTATTCTGGTAAAAATTAATATGCCATTCATCTATCATTCTGTCATTATGCAGATGCCAGCATTGACATGTTACATGACACACCCTCAATTAAAAAAATTTAAAAAACAAAATTACGCAAGTTTTGTGTCGACCACAATTAGGCTCTTTAAACCCTGATTTTAAACACAGGTAAAAAGCAATGTTTGAAAGGGGTTTAGCACCACTCTGGAGAATACCATTCTCTGTTTAATAATAACGCAATAGAAACTGTTAATTAAACAGGTCATATACTGTGTTTCTTCACTCAATGATATTGGCAAAGCCAATGGTTTAAGTAAACTGATGTTCATAGGAGAGATCAGGGGTGATTGTAACAGTCGGTTTCTAACTGAGGGGTTTGGTTTTAACATACAGTATATGATGAACAAGCAGAAAAATTATATAGCTGTGGTTTTGAGGTTTGATATGTTGTGGTGCAGATCAACAAGTTTCAACTAGGTGTCTTTTCTGACTGCTATTGTAGCTAAACAGGCTTATATACAGTATATATATATATTTTTTCACTTGCTATTAAGCTTTATAATATCTGTCCAAAACCAACACCGTGAATGGAACAGTCCCAAACAGCAGGCCTTACTTTCTTCAAGTTTTTTTTTTCTTAAATGCTTTCAGGCTCCTCACCCCTGTCAGGTATAATGAGGCTGTTTGTTAGTTGGTATATGTAATAATTACAGAATAAAATGCTTTAAAATGTTCTTGAAAGGCCATTGTCAATCATTAATAAGTTATTTAAAATAAAATCAACTCTAAACCAATCATTCCTGGGTTCCTATACTTATGTTTCTGTTAGGATTACAAATTAAATATGCGAGCTCTGCTGTAGGTGTTGTCAAATCAGTTTTAGCTTGATTCAGAAAAATAATATGCACAACCTATTGCTTTTAAAACATGCTGTTTACTTCAGTATGTTACTGAAATATCTTGAAGTACAAACACTAAAAAGAATCCATGTGCCAATATGAAAATAGCCTAGATCACAGAATTATGACTAAATTCAATCTAAAACAAAAAACAGTATTATGCCATGTATATCCAAAAACATCATGCTGCTGCATTGTAATTACAATGATGCAAAATTGCTCTCCAGGTAAACATTAAAGGTTAACAATTACAGGTTTGCACTTACCTGATCTGTGGTTTACTTGCAGAAATACATGTTTTACTGTTTTACAGATAGTAATTCACCTAGTGCACAGCATGCATTGACAGGACAGTTTGTGGGTAGTTGTTAGTTTTAGTGGAGAAGATGAAGGGCCCTGCCCTTTTTGTAGGTATGGCACAACCCTGTTTCAGGGCTGTGGTTCAAACTCCTGCTAATGCTATTGTGCTGGAGAATAAACATATGAATGTGTAACACTGCTTGCACACATTCACAAATGAATATAAATGAGAGGTCTTGATATTTTGAAGCAAAGGAGTCAGGGCAAAGATTTTGTTGTAAGGGTATTTATGCCCCTCTGTTCTCCAGTGAATGTTGTCTGCGTTTGTTTAGTTTAGTTTTGAGTTGAAGGAAATAGTTATGACATTAGTGTACAGTGGGAAATAAATGCAGAATGAAGACAAGATCTCATGCAGTTCGGAGTTCTTTTTTTCATTGTGCTTTTTGCCAAAGTAAATAAATAAGAATACAATACAAAGCAAGCTGTCAATCACATGATGTTTGTGCAGTATGTGTGTGCACATGGTTGACTGTGTGTTTAAATACCAGTCCAAAAATTCCTTTTATACCCCCATAATTATCATTTAGCTTTATATTTGTTATAAAATTGCCATGCAACTGATTTAGCAAGCAACAGACCAACAATACAAAGAAACCTGAATTACAAAAAAAAAAAAAAAAAATGCCTATTTGATTTTTAGGCACAATCATTGATCCCTAACTGAGATTGACATGAGTGTGAGAAATGCAGTATTAGTAAATTGATAACGTAGTTACTTCTTAATCAAATATTTGCTCACAGGGTGCTGGTCTAAAAGTGATAAAGCATTTAAAGTATGTGACTATACTGAAAAATAGTACATAATTTGTGTTACTAGCATAGGAAATCCTAACACTACTTATAAAGCACAGAAAGTACATGCACACACAGACTCTCTTTATAATTTTATGATGTTATGTTATGAAGGACTACACAAAATGGAATTTATGTCATTTGTCGTTATATTTAATGCATGTTGTTATCATCATGACTAAATCTAGTAACTAGCGTACGTTGAGTTAAATAGCCTATGTGTGTCTCGTTGTGGACAGAGTCAGGCATATTATAACATTGGGATTTAGCTTTGTTTATAATATGTAATTTTATATTTGAAGCTCTCTGCAAAGCAAAAATGAACATGAAGGTTGTGCATATGTTGTCCATTTCAATTTATTCCTATTCCTGTGGATGTGGACTTGTTGATTAAACAATTACATCATCAGATTTGAACAATGAGCCTTTAGAATATTGTTCAGAGGTGTGGACACTCACAAGTGCTGTGACTAGCTGTAGACAAATCATAGTTTTCCTGACCCCAGAACACAGTTTTCAAAGCGGACCAAAGGTCATTTCAAGATCATAACATCATCAACAAACTGAACTATATTTTATTGACATTGTTTGTGAAGATGTTATGTTTGTGTGTCCAAATGTCACCAAAAGCTCTCTTTTTTAATTTTTAGATTTAATTTACACTACATCATCAGAAAACTGAAGTACGTTTTATTGATGTCATTTGTGAAGACTTTATGCTTGTGTATGCAAACAGTTCACTAAAATATGTCGTCAAAATCTCTGAAATCACATTTTATAGTACATAGGTTGTAAGGACTTGGTTGTTTTGAACTTGAAAGAGATGGTCATTTTGAAATGTAGAAAAGGTCTGCATGAATTTCTTCAAAAATTCTCCTTTTATGTTTTACAGGAAATCTAACAACATATGGGTGAGTTAATAATAGATTTTCATTTTTGGGTGAAGTATTCAGTATTATTATTACATATTTAGTATTATATATTTATTCTATGAATGATTCATCTTTTAAAAAATGATAAATTAATTAAGTCCAAACCTTTAACACACCTCTCTAACTGAAATAAGTATTACAAATACTGTAGGTAGCATGTTTCATATTTCATGATATTACAACATAAGCTGTAAAAATCTGATCTCCTGTATGTTAGCACATCTCCCATGACCAATATTACAGGCATTAGAGGTTGTTTTCTGTTCCTGTGGCCATACGAGGCCCAGAGCTCTGCTCCTTCAGCACACTAATACGGTTAATTATCTGCTCAGCAAGATACAGGGAGCAGGAACATCAATTCTGGCCTGCACTCATAACATCATACACAAGCCTCTTTCAGAGTCAAGTGGGAAAGACTTGTTTGTATTCAAAATATAATTGAATTTCAGGGCCGGAGAGGGAAAATAAACTGAAAACAGAATTGGATTTTCTTCCATATTAAGAACATGGGACCAAGTTCCCTCATGTTTCCAATCAATCAGCCGCAATAATTGATGCATTTACTGTATGTGCCAAAGAGATGATGGCTTTAAAATTAAGAGTTAAACAGAGAGTTTCTCTTCTAATATCATGGAACTAAACTCATGTCATTCCTAAGCTGTATGTTTCGTAAATAATAAGATATGTTTTCTCCATACAATGTTGTTTGGAAATATATTCTTGAAAGTCATACAGATTTGGAATGACATGAGGGTGAGTATAAATGATGACTTATTTATTTATTTAGATAGGTAGGTAGGTATCGATATTTATTTTATTAATTTTTTTGGTAACAGTTTACTTGAAGCCTTAATGTGTAATGCATTATAAGAGCCGTTTTAATGCATTTATTATGCATTGTAATGCACCTTAAAATGCATTGTATGATCTTAAGAATAATTATATCCTCAGTTATAATACATTATAATACTAATCTATTCACTGTTACACCTGTAGAATAATGCATATAATGCATTAAAACATGACAAACTAAACTTCAAACATTATAATGCATTTAACGTTAGCTACAGTCATTTATAAAAAAAGATATAATGCATTACAATGTACATTATGAATACTTTTATAATGTGTTATACATAAAGGCTTTAAAAGTCCCCATGAAATCAAAATTAAAGTTTTTTGGGTGTTAGTATCAATATGTCAGTCTCAAGGTTATCTATAAGGCAGTGTGCTCCAAGACAGTGACAAAATTTGCATTTAGAAGATATAAGCATTCAATGCTTGCAGTTCGTCACTTCCGCCAAAACGGCTCAATGTTTTTTTTGACGTCACATCGTACTTCAGCTTCTCATCAAACTTTCTGTCCAATCAAATGCTCTCTAGAATCCGAAGCTCCCGCCCCCTACACTATAAAATAGACGCTGAAGCCGCGGCTGAAATCGGTCACTTGTCCACAGAATTAGTATTTTCTGTACAGTGAATGGCACGTAGTGCACTATATAGGGGACAGGGAACGATTCAAACAGTGTTAGTATGCTTTCCGTTGAGGAAAAAAAGAAGTCTGGTTTCGCGCTGTCATGCTAACCACCGCACCCGCACCCGCACACACACTCTGCTCCGGTCCACAGACACCAAATGCAGCTTTACGGAGCTCAACGGCTGAACGGCTCTAGCCCACGCTGTGATATAAACAAACACTATTGGCTATTTTAAAAAGGGGAGGGGCTACTTGATATGTCCCGCCCTGTCTTCCTGTTTCAGTTAAAATGACGTCAACACATAGAGTAACGCTACGTGTTTCTAAGCATTTCAGGGGACCTTTAAGTAAAGTGTTACCATTTATTTGTTTGTTTGTTTACTGTGCCTTTAAATATCGCTCAATATTCTCACAGTTAAAAATACAGTATGACATGTCAATACACAAAACCTGTTCTTAATTTTTTCAGTAATGTTCAGCTTCAGTCAATCCCGTGAAACCAAACCATGAAAAACTGCAAATACTCTCAAATTCATAATTTATTAATTAGCAGGAGGGCATTAGTGAGATGCTAATAGTTATAACTATTTTAAAGAGTGGACTAAGTGGGTAAAATCAATCAGTATTTAATGGCCTGCTGATGCACTAATATTTTATAGCTTCTCTATCAATATGATTTTTAAGCTTTTTTACTGTAAAGTTACCTGTTCTGTAATGTGTTGTTCAATATAGAGTTATTATTTTTTCTGTATAAGGTAATGTACAGTTTTTACAGGTTTTTATTTCTCTTCTTTTTCCATTGTGCATATATCAGCTGGCCTATGCACTAATTCAGAGTATTCATTCTCATCCACGTCTTGCTCATCATGCTCAGTTGGTGTACTTTGGCCATTATCCAAGTCTCACAAGTCTACATCTCTCACAAAGACCTTGAGCCATGCCCACCAGCGTTTATACTGCTCTACAGAGCCAAATCACAAAGACACCAACTAAAGAGAAAAGTTTTTGATTGAATTATGATTGATCTTATATCAATTTTCACACTCTGAGAATTTGAGCAAAGCAAAGCCAAACCCATTTGTCATAGGATTGACTTGATTTGGCTTAAAACTCAAGTTTGACAAAATATACGGTTACTGTGCTTTGCTTATGTACAGCAGTTTAGAATAATGTAGTTTTTAAGTCTATTCTGCTGACACGATAGTCTTGGAAAGTATTCATCTCAGTGTGATCATAATTACATAATTTTCTCAGATAGCAGAGATTGTGTTAATGCAATCTCACAAACATTTAGCGTCATGGAAAAGCAAGTTCATGTCTGTATAAAACCAGAGCACAAAAACACATTTCATTTAATTAAATCCTGCCATCCTTGGTTGTATATCTAGTAATTAAGCTGTCGTGCAGCCGTTGTATTGTGAGATGTATTGGTTGCTCATTGCAGCTTGTAAGATGTCTAAAATATAACTCTTGACTCATTTAGGTCACTCCAAGTGTTTGTTTGTATAACTAAAGAGGTTGAAGTTCATCTGAAGGTCAAAGAAAAAAAAAACTATAGATAAAGCTGCTAGTTGAATTAAATGAGACAAGGTGACCAAATTACTTGGAGCTGTTTGGTTAGCGGGTTAATTGGATTTCAAAGTCCTTTGATAATGAAGCCAAAAAGAGCACCAACAAGTTACTGTAACACAGAATGACACTTCCAAAGATAGAAAACATTAGACAAAGATGGTACATAAGATGAATACATATACAAAGTGTATTTTCAAATATTTTTATATAATTTGTTTTATTTATTTGTTTGTTTACTAATATATATCACTTTGTTGTGGAGACACTTTGGCTTATGTATAGCCTACAACTTCATGTTTCATTTAAAAATTCCATTAACAATTTTATAAATATATCAGTATGTTATGGAATCTTGGACTTTGAAGAGACACTTTGGCTTATGTATCCATCTTGTATGTTTTATAAAAATAAAAAGGTACATATTTTATCAAATTATATATATATAATATATATTATATACACACACGCGCATACACATATATGTGTGTATTAAATTGTATTATATATTATAAAAAATCTATTAATATATATATATATATATATATATATACTGTATTTGTTTTTTATTAAACTTCACAGAAATAATTGAAATAAAAATTAGCTCTTAATTAAAATAAACATATCAGGGAAAATATAAAAAAATCTGCAAAAAATAAGCTCTTAAGCTTTCATAAGTCATTGTAAACAATACTATCCAAATTCGACCAGTCCTAAATGCTCCGAAATCGCACTCTCAACACTGTAAACAAACACACTGCAGATGCTGTTGATAAAATACTGCATAACTCTGTTGACACACCCACAGCCAGATAGCCACGCCCCCTTCAAATATTTTTATATAATTTTTTTTATTTATTTGTTTGTTTACTAATATATATCACTTTGTTGTGGAGACACTTTGGCTTATGTATAGCCTACAACTTCATGTTTCATTTAAAAATTCCATTAACAATTTTATAAATATATCAGTATGTTATGGAATCTTGGACTTTGAAGAGACACTTTGGCTTATGTATGCATCTTGTATGTTTTATAA